AATAAAAGATTTCATTGTTATTTAAATGTTCATTTTTTTAAGCTTTTCCTGAAATCTTTCTACAGACCTACGTACCGTCCTTTCAAAACCGCTTAAAGATCGATGATATCATTTTCCATATAGAATCCGTCGTGCTTCCGCAGTACGTGGGGCCAAACCGGCGCTTCTACTTCTACATGAAATATTTTTAGACGATGTGAAATATATTACATTCGTTTCCATTTCAATAAACCATAATATAGTGCTTTAGTTTAGGCTTTGATTCTTTTTTACAGCTCTGCGCTGGTTTCATAAATTGCATGATATGTGATGTAAACGGTTAATATATAATGATCTTTACGTATTTGAAGTCTTGTCAACACTAAACTATACTTGATATGACACCTTTATCTTGTTTCCTGGCTATGTTTAAGGTCAAAGTCTATGAATACATGAAATCTATCTTTGGCCTTATATGACATCTCCTTATAAACGGCTATGCCAATTTCATCCAAACTTCACAGGAATGTTCCTTTGGTGGTCACCTTTGAAAAGCTTTAAAGAATTTAATACTTTGCAACTCTGGTTGCCATGGCAACAGAACGAAAATTAAAAAAAAAAAAACCCAAAGAGCTAGAGCTTTGGCATGAAGCATCTTCTTATGAGTGTCTACCAAGTTTGTTTAAATAAAAGCCCTTAAAGTTGGCCCCCGCCCGGGGGGGGGGGATTGATAACCTGATATGTATATAGTAAAAAGCTTCAAAAATCTTCTTTTGAAAAAGCCAAATACCTAGAGCTTAGATACTTAGCATGAATTATATTCTAGTGAACGTCTGCCAAGTTTTTCCAAATACAAGCTATTGATTTCTCTTAATGTGTTTAGTTAAACCTTTAAAATCTTCTTAAAGAAACAAAGGCTAAAGCTTAGATATTAAGCATGAAACATCTTCTATTAGGTGCCTACCGAGTTTGTTAAAACAAAAGCCCTGAGGTTAAGATTTGTCCTGTCCCCGGGGGGCATTGATTTTCCTTATATGTATATAGTGAAAACTTATAAAATCTACTTTTGAAAAACCCAAATAGCTAGAGCTTAGATATTTAACATGAAACAACTTCTAGTATGTGTCTGCCAAGTTTGTTCAAATAAAAGCCCTGGGGTCAAATTGGTCCCGCCCCAGGGGGTCATTGATTTTCCTTACATGTATGTACTGAAAACTTGAAAAATTCTTCTTTAATAAACAAATAGCTAGAGCTCAGATATTTAGCATGAAACATCCTCTAGTGTGTGTCTGCCAAGTTTGTTTAAATAAAAGCCCTGTGGTCAAAATTTGTCCCGCCCCGGAGCTCATTGATTTTCCTTATATGTATAAAGTGAAAACTTAAAAAAATCTTCTTTTAAAATACCCAAAAATGCTACATCTTAGACATTTAGCATGAACAATATTCTAGCAGGTGTCTACCAACTTTGTTCATATAAGAACCCTTGGGTTAAAATTGGCCTCGCACCGGGGTGTCATTTATTTTCCTTAAATGATCACATCTTATGGAACTTTGTTTTTCCTAAGCAATAGCTACCACATGCACCCTTTCAGATACAAATATGAACATTGTGTTATCAGTTTAAGATTTGGATTTTAAATCTGCTTTTGTTTAAAGTTAACAGTATTATTTGTTCCTTGTCATGGAGAGTTTTTATATACAGGTGAGCGGTTTCAGGGCCATCATAACCACCTTGTTTATGTTTATCATTATTCTAATATTCCTTTTCAAGAGTTAAGAAAAATGGTTAAATGAAATGTAAATATAATGTCGAGTAAAATATTATACATATATATTCTTTTTGTATTAAGAAAAAATATTGATGTTAGGAACCTGTTTTTGATAATTTATATATTTTATACATTTAACTCGAGATAAATAAAAAATATTGCATTGGTATTCCAATGAAATTTAATGGAAGATAAAAGTTCAAATGAAATCTGTATTTTATTCAACGTAAAATATGTGTTATACATGCATAGTTATATCGGTATTCCAAGTAACTTGTACTCAATTAAGCTTTTACATAACGTAAATTTAACAAGTTTTTTTTATAATCTTATGAAATGAGTATTTTGTTTCCAACCTAATTGTTACCTTTCAGAAATGTCCTGAATGTTTTTTCAAGGATTAGAAGATTTATTACATATCTTCTGTAGTTAGTCAAATGATTGTGTGATCTGATACGATTCAATGTGGCAGAGCAGACATAATTCTAACATTTATTAATAAGCTGGGTTCTCTTACACTGCACAAATATGTTTTTCCACGGTAATTAAGGTGTTAAGGTAGATAAAAAATAAATTTTCTGAAAAAAAAAGTGATCTTGTTTCTATAATTGCTAAAAATACACTCTACGATAACTTGCATTTTTAAAGGTATCAAAAGCATTAAATTTTAATTTCACACATTATTATGAATTCCACGGATTCATAACGTTTTCCAGATTTCGTTTAGTTTTAATTATATATATTTATTTTTTGAAGTGAATTTATGTATATAATTGTAACACTATCGGATATTTTCATTATGTCATCAAGGAAGGTCAGTAGCGTGATTAATTTCACAACAGATGCACTCGCTGTTATTATTTCCTCCTTCCGTACCTAGAAACCGAACCATTGACTGCGTCATTTTGTTTAAAAAATCTGATAAATAAAAAAACAGCAACTTATTGTTAAATTTTGCTCTGAAAACAATCTAGAATGATAAAAATGGTACAGTTAAGAAACTATGTCTTTAATTCAGTCAATAGCGCTGTATATACGTTTGGATTGTTGTTAACGTAACGTCACAATAGAGCGCCAACAACGCGTGCAAAAACCGTCAAAAACAAACGCCATTTCAATCTTGCAAAACACTTTAATTTCACTTTAAGGTATTAGATGTATTCATGACATTTTTTGAAAATGCGTTTGAAACTTTATTTTATTAAACTTTTATATATTCTAGACATATATTCAAAATATAACAAACGTTTACTGACTTGTTTGAAAAAATATGGACAAGTAAAGATCAGCTTTTGTATCCGTTTCAACAACAACAGTTATATTTTCATTATCTGTAGAAAAGTTTCACTTATTTAATATTTTTATTACTTGAAAAGTGATTATAATGAACTAAAGATTTTAAATAACTTCAAATAAATCAATGTAAAATGTATATGAAAAGATTTTTGTTTGTTTATTGAGACAGGTCATTTTACATCAAAAAAGAAGAGGGTGGGGTAAGAAAAAACCGTCAGATTTCGTCAAATATAATCGGGACATCAAATATTGTTTACTAATGATTATCTAGAAACTATTCTAAACATTTGTGAAAAATATAAAGAAAGTTTACCGTGATGACTTTAAATTATAATCATTTTAATTCGTAATGCTATCCAATTTCATACATTTCACAGTAAAAAAAAATTAAACTTCAAATCTTTCTGAATTACAAATATTTGATATAAAATAAGAAAGTAAATAATATACTGACAAAACAAAAAGAAGAAAAAAGACAAAATTGAAAAAAAAAATATTGCATCTTCTGGAGTTTGAACCAATGCCCTCTGAACCTCTGTCTCCTCACTGAAAATGAATACTTTTCAGAAAGGAGATACTGCATAAGCCATCCGGTACCTTAAATACTATCTAATTCGCCTGAAAAATATATAATGTAATAGATAAATACAAAAAGATCCTTAACCAGCGCCTTTTCAAGCAGTGTTATTCAAAAAATGTGTGTGAAAACTGTTGTTTTAACCGGATGAAAAACATTTTTATATTTAACAATAAGATAAGAACATAAGACATTGTCTTTTATAAAATTCTTTAAAATTCTTAAAAAACTTAGTTATGTCAGTAAAAGTATTATAAAAATTATCTCAGTTAATACATGTATAACAATATTTTAGTTAAAATTGGTCAACATGTATAAAAGCATCAAAACATGGCCAAAACGGTACATATATATTTTTGCAAAGCATGATAATTATTTTGTAAGGCATTTTTACATTTCATTATTAAGCTGATATCTAATGAAAGATTCTACTGCATGAATTCAATACTGAAATTTTGAAAGAACTTACTAGGTTAAGCAATAATGCTGTCATTCTATCTTTTTTTCACAACACTTTTGCATTGAGTACCAATGTGTTTATATGTGCACATATTGTTTGTCAAACATTAAGGACATAAATAAATATACCCAAGCATCTAGGTTACGGACTTGGATAGATTAGTTTATTTGCTTAGGAATTCTTCAGGTAACAATCCTATTTATTTTAGGTCTTTTATTGAGATACTTTAAGATTCCACTGCGGACTTATATGGCAAAGAGCGTGTCATGTCATGATCACGTGATGAATTGGAACTTAGACTGGTAAAAGCTATCACTAGAACTTTAAAACTTGGAAAATTGATCAAAAGGGACAGCCAGAATACTTTCATATTAATGTTTACATGATAAGGCGGAAGATGCCAGTGATGGAATGGTAATAAAATGGAGGCGTCATACTGAACACCTTAGGCCTAAACTCTACATCATTATGTATTAAATTGCTTGCTTAGTTTTAAACAAGTCAGGTTTGGACAATAAAGCGGAGCATCAAATTAGTATAGGTGATCCTTACACCGCCTAAGAAGCCAAATCAACAGAATTACCAAAACTTTCTTTTGGCTATTGGCTATTTTAATTGCAAATATCAAACGTTTCAGTTTGTTATCCACATTTATCTGATTAAGCATACCCAAAATAAGAATAAGTATACCAAGACACCAATTGTACTTCAATATGCTTCCAGTATCTAATAGTATTCTTCTACAGACCCAAAGTCACAATATATATAAGTCCTACATGTATATTATTTATTTGTGTATTAGTGACTTGTTTTAAAAATAATATGTTGTTTCAATATTTTCATATTAAAGCCATGTTCATGTTTTGAATTTTATTTACATAACATTTTATCTTATGATATTTGTTTCTTACAGAGCCGGGCATCAACAATATTAATTGAATACTCTGTGAAAACTTACGACTGATGAAAACAGTGTTTTACAAATTCTAAGAGGCCTAGGCTGTACAAAAAAATCAACATGTCTGACAATCTCACTGACAGAACGTATTTTCTGCAAACAATTTCGATGTACAAAGAACTTGTGAGAGATGTCATTCTAAAGACCTTTCAGTTCGTGATACATTGCCAAGACATTTCAAAATTTTTATGTTCACCTGAAACTAGAATAAAACTTCAGGAGTTAATAAGAAATAAAGTTTTTAACAAACCTGATTCTAACAAACTGCAGGAACTTAATCCGAATCCAGACAAGTTTGATATTGCTTTATTGATTAAACTTATTAAATACCTTGGTGAAATTGATGTTCCAGAACGCGGATGGAGAAAAGACCCCAATCCCAAAGACGAATCGATAGGAGCTGACCTTATTAGGTTAAACGATATTAGAAATAAGTTGCTAGCGCATGATCCAAATAAGGCTATGTTAGCTAAAGATGAATGCGAAAGAGTATTTGCGAAAGTACAAGCAATTTTAAATAGAATTCTTGCAAAGGTTGACCCAGAGTCAAAGGAAATTTTGTATGAGAGACTTTTAGAGTACAAACAACTAAACGTGGTTACCAAAAAGTCTGAAATACAACAATACATTGAAGAACTCTCTGCTGTTTACGAAGCAAATGAAAAATGTAAGAAAGAGGTAAGTTCTAATTTAACTTTGTTCCACATATAAATCTTGATTGTGATTTTGTTAGACACTTATATTTTACGTTTTCAATGCAAATGTAGATTTTGATAAATATATTAATGACGTAATAACACTCAACATTATTTTGTTTAGTATTATTGACCTTGTTTTGATAAAATGTGTTGAAGTACAAAATACAGACAAACTAGACATACCGACTCGAATAATTAAACGATTTCCTGTCGAATATGACTCTTCATTTTTTTTCCACGCTATGAGAATTACTATTCAAATACACTTAAATAAACGACTCTCTGTTTGACACGACTACACTTTTCTCAGTGGATAATAGAATGAACAAAGAAATGGGGCATAATTATGCAAATGTGCTTAGCAGGCTATCTGCCCTTAATAGTCAACATATTTGTCTAGTTTGATTTGACTAGCCGTATTAAAAATGATAATCGTTTTAGAAATTCCTTTCATTTCAAAATTTCATAGCGAACATGTACTCAAAGTTTAAAGTGAATATCTTCTTTCAAATTGAAAATTTTGTAATCAAGTTAAACTTTTATGAAACTTTATGTTAAACTTACCGTTCATAAATATACATGTAGGATTTACTTCCCTTTTTTACAATCGGACGCGCCGAGGCGCATGCGTAAAACTAAAAAGCAAGCGTTTATATGACAGAAATAGCATGCTTTTTGAGTTTTACTGATTAAGTGAAAACAATTGCATAATTCAAATGATTCAAATGGTGGTCGGAAACTTGTATGACTGGTAAATATAACTTATTAATAAAATCATCTACATTAACATTTATTCTTTATTCTCCACCATGTACAGAATTTCTATTTCCTCTTGCATAAATGTACAGAACAACACTGTCAATACTGTTTTCGCTTGTATAAATGTACAGAAAAAAACTTCATGTCCACTTATATTCCCTGAACACTATCTTCACTAATGTATACAATATATGTATATATATTTATACCAATGCACTTTTCGAGTGCCATAACCTATGAAAAAAAGTTTCAATAACTTAATGTAGAAACTCGCTAACAGTCAAAATGAAATTTATTTCAAAAAACCTATTTCAACACTGCTGAAGTACTATTTACATTTCTTAGATAAAAACGTGTGAAAGTAGTCTCTCTACTCCAGACTGCTGAAGCTAAATTTTATTCTATCGATGCACTCTTGAACAATGCAAAAGATGGAACAACGGCTCTTGTACAATGAGCTTTAACTTTAACTTATCATCTTGAAGTGCTAACTTTAATGTCTGAACAATCCAGTTTGATAACGTTTGAAAACAAACTGGTTTATGTGGCTCATTTAACCTAAGGAATAGCTTTGTTTCATCTTCACCGATCCAGACTTTATGTAATTTTCAGTTGCTTTCAAAAAATCAAATACATACCTTCTAGGATCCAGTTTCTTATTTTCTTGAAGTAATGGTATAAAAATGGTTGCTCCAAAATGTGATGGTCTGTCCCGTTTAGCTAAACCATGACGAATGAAAGTGATACCTTTCGGTTGAATGTTTACTGAACCTTCTTCTTACTTCAGTGAGTGCAATTTACTACAGCTCCTGAAAGTAGTTATTGCAAACATAAACACAGTTTTGTATGTTAAAATCTCCAAGGGAGATTTATGTTATGGTTCAAAAAGTGCTTTTTGTAAAGCAAAACCCATTCTGGAATTGATTTGACTGTTGGAGGTCTAAAATTAAAAACTCCCTAAAGAGGCTGAATTATATAAGGATGTTGACCTACTTTACGACCATCAATAGGGGAATGAACAGCTGACAACATATACTTGTACCACTGATTGTCCTATACTGTAAACCTGTATGTAACATGTCTGTAAGAAACTGTGATATATTATTAATAATCAGAGTTAAAAAATAGGGATCAACTTTCCGCGTACGACACCAGCTATTGAATAATCTAAATTTGCTACTAAAGTCCCTTTAAGTAGCACATCTCCAGGCTGCTTTGAGCAATTTTCTAGTGTTTTTAGAAAAACCAGTCTTTCTGTATTGTCTGTTGATAACATCCAAGCTGTTAAATGAAAAATTTGTGGATTTTGGTGTTTTTGCTTAAACTATATGATCCGGAATTACAGGACTGGTAGTCTGAGGGGAATGCTACAAGCAAGTCTAGAATTTCCGAATACCAGCGTCTCATTTGCCACTGAGGAGCTATGAGTACAATTTGAGAATGGAACTGCTGTATATATGTCAGTATTCTCAGGCATAGAGGCTGATAAGCATACGTATACATGTTCTCTCCATGAAATCGCAAACGCTTGATTGGTCGGAAACAAGGAGCAAATAACCCTTAAAGATGTTGGCTGGATTTTATCACCATTTTAGATGTGATTGAATATGTTGAGCAAATGTAATGATGATTGACAATGCATGATTTGCAAATGAGCAAATGAAACTGAATAGGCCGGGCATTCGGAATAAGTTCCAAGCAAGAGGTCATGAGACCTAATAAATGAAGAAAATGTTGCGCTTTGTTTTTTCCATTGTCCAAGATGGCAGTCTCTTTTCTGTTGGGGGAGAAGACCAAATTTTAGATTATTATGTTATGTTATTACTTGTTGAGGTATCAAATTGGACTTTTGTCATGCACTAAAAACCCTAGTTTTATGAGGAGATTGAGGCAATCATATTGATCTTTGAGTAAATGCTGATGTATTTGATTTAGACATAACCAGTCGTCTAGGTATACTGCTAGACGTATGTTTCGTGTTCTTAAGCGAGCTGCAACTACTGATACAATTTTCGTGATCACTCTTGGTGCTACAGTTGGACCGAAACATATTAGTTTCCACTGATAGCATTTCCCTCGAGAAGCAAACCTAAGGTATTTGCGATGTTTCTGAAAACTTGGGATATGCATGTATGCGTCGCTGACATCTATTGAACATGCCCAATCGTTTTGCTTTATTAGATTTATTTTTTTGGATAATGTGTCCATTTTGAAATGTTTCTTGACCAGATACATATTCAATGGTCTCAGATTTATGACAGGTCTTAACTCCCCATTTTTCTTTGGGACAAGAAATACTGTACTGTAGAAACCATGATTTTGTTGATTTAATGGAACTATTTCTACAGCATCTTTTACTATTAAAGAAGAAATTTCTTTTAAAATTATAGAAATATCTTTTTTTGGATCGACAGTATATCGAACACCCGTAAATACAGACATTTTCTCGAATTCAAGTTTGTAACCTTCTCTGATTACCTAATACCTATTGATCAGGGGTTATCTTTTCCCACGTTGACACAAAAATCTGAGACGACCCCAACAGGTATCTGGGACTCTAGACAAAAAACATTTTTAACTGGTCATTTCTTTTTTGGGATACGAAAAGTTGATATAGCACCTGTGCTTCTATGTTTTACACTTTGAGATTTGAAATCTTTTTGTCTGTTTTTTTTTTTATTTCCACTTGATGGAAAAGCCCTTCTTCTAGATTCAATATATGGACAAGACTGTCTTTGCCCTCCAGTGTTATGCTTTATATGGACAAGACTGTCTTTGCCCTCCAGTGTTATGCTTTATATGAACAAGACTATATTTGCCCTCCAGTATTATGCTGTACTTTAAATTTCTGAAAATTTGTTCCTTCATATGTGGTCACGGGTTTCCTTTTCTGTCTTTCAAAGAATTCTGGATATAAATATGTTGACTGGTCTTTTAGTTCTTTCCTACTTTTTAATTTAGATTGCAGACCAGAACCAAACAAACCATTTGCCGTAAGAGGACTATATGTATAACTTTTGACTCACTGTCTTTCAATTTTTCCAAACCCAAATCAAATACGGCAGTGATGAAAAGTCCCTGATCTTCCTGCATGATCAAAGGCTTTTGACGACATGTCAAAATGATCTCTCACCGTTTGTATGACTTTGTCCATATCTTGTTCTTTTTTGCTTTAAGGATATGCGATAAGCTACCTAAACTCTTTTTGATATAATAAAAAACAATAATGTTCAATTTAGACGCCAATTGTCCTTGGTAATTTAGTGTTTCTATAGACTTTAATGGTCGGTTTCACAATTGTCTGTTTTTATCCAATGCCTTTGTAATTTTTGCACCATGTCGTTTTTGTAAACCATTAGAAGCACCGTCATGTTGTGAACTATCAGATCCAAATAACTTCTGTAACATAATTGGTTTATAAAAGAGAAATTGCCATTGACTTGTGCGGCAGGTAGCTCCAAATGTATTTGATCTATAGTCATTAAACTTTACAGAAGGTTTTTCAGCATCTAAAGGTGTGCACCTGAGGTTTGACATGTGGATATATTCAGTTTTGTCATCGTTATTGCAATTTACTAGTAAAATTGGCATTTTTAACTTGTGTAGTGCATAGTTCAAAATGTATGTGATTTAGAGTCATGAAACTTTACAGAAATGTTGATCAGCTTAATTTATGTAGTTTTTCACCTAGGATTTTGCATGTGGAGTCATTCAATTTTGTTAAAGTTGTAGCCATTGACTTCGAATTTTGAAATTTTGTGATGCGTATTTGACCTTTAGTCATGAAGGTTTACAGACTGTTGGTCAGCATATGTAGTTGTATATCCACGGGCCGAAAGAAATCCGTATGTCAATATTAGAAATTAGTTATATTGTAATGTCCGTCAACTTAGTGGAATGGGATGCCATTGTCTGTCCTTTTGTCATATTGTCCTGCTGTAGTACGCGGGCATCTGTGGAAGGATCTGTATCCTATGTTGAGAATATATACCTGAACAAAAAAAACGGGCTAAAAGTATAATGTAAAAGATGGGCATAACTTTGCATATAATAGTTTTTATTATATTTTATATGGCATCCTATTATGACAATATACAAATAAAGTGACCAAGTTATAATTTCTGAGAAAATGGATTCAAACGAAAAGGTTAACCAACGCTGACGGCAATAACCCCGCTATTTATGACCGGAATGTCTTCATTCTTAACAATACTACCTTATTATTTGTAAGACGATCTAACTCAGTTACAATTTTGTCTTAAATAATCCTCAGCTTTAGGGTCTAATTGATCTATTTTCACATTTTATACTAAAATTGGCTTTGTAAATAATAAATGGATTGTCTTTAAATTTTATCACAACAATCCTTTTGACAGGATATGAAGAAAATGTTATTTGAACATGACCTTGAACTTAATTTGACGTTGACACAGTGAATTGTGCTACAATTGGACATATTTTTGTTATGTATTTACGAACTCTATCTAAACTTGGTCGTATTACTTTAAACAAAACTAAAATGTTCTCTAATTCAAATATGACATTCACATATATTTGACATTGACCATAAAAATATCAACGTATTGCAATGTTCTTGAATTGTCATTGTTTTTTATTTGATAATTATGATTTATACTTGGACACATTTGACCAAAGGCGACATGTTAGTTTTGTCAGGATATGATCTTGACCTTTAATTGACCATGACCATTAAGTTTAGCGACACATTCGTGACATTTGCTTTAATTGTCATGACTGATTTTTATATACAGATACTTGAACACAAGTATACAGCATATCAAATATTGTTGATCTCTTCATAGCTTATTTACTTATTGATCTGATCCATTCTTGGGCAAAATAACATTTGCAACAAACTGTCATAATAATTCAAATTTGAATAACATTTTTCTTTCTTTCATTTACTATAGTACTATGTGTTTTTTTTTTTACTTTAGAAGTTAGAAAAGGTACAAACTACACAGTATGCAGGAACTTATACTCACAATTGTTTGTAATTTTTAAAGAGTATAAAAATATATAATTCGAATTGTATGCATTTAATTTTCACATTGTCAGGTCAAAACATTAACATATTTCAATGTTTTTATCTACATTGTAATTGTAAAACATATTTTACAATTAACATGTAGACAACTTCATTTAATGAACATTAAAATTAATAAAATGAAAAAATAAACAAATATTTTTATTTTTTGTTTAACAACAAAACAGTCAAAGGAGATGCTTTTTTTCAAGCAGTACTAAAATTTTTTAAGGACCTGAACTGAAAGGCTTGTAATATAGCGATTCACCCAACGGTCAACTAGCCCAACTTTATATCATTAAACATTATTATATTATTTAGCTTAATATAATAGTGACATGTAACACGTTTGACATGTATTGAAATTGATACTATATGTTTAAATATATTTTTTTCTAATTATGAATATAGGAAAGAAACATGCTTATAGTTATTTTTTCTTAAAGGTTGTGGAATTGGAGAAAACTGCCAAAGGTTTGTTTTCTTTTTCAATATATTGTTTCTTGTGCTATGACTTGTTTTTACGTATTTAGATAAATCAAATGTTATTTGTATGCATTTATCAGTTACGTACCACTTTATTTTTTTTTAAACATTGAACTTTCTTAAATATTTTTACTGAACATATGAGAATTTCCCCATCTGTTCCCACAGAAACATATATAATTCGACTGTATCTTAAAATTTGAATCAGGTATCCAGTAGGCCAGATTAACAATTTAGCCAATAACCGGTCCATAGCAATTTTAAGTTCGAGTCCCTTTAAATTATCTTGGTAACTTATATCGATAGCGCTTCATTCACAATATCTGACTTTTGTCTACTAATGGTGAGAGATCGGCCTGAAAATTTATTTATGATAGTTTTTTGACTTGGTTATGAGCGCAGATTTTACAGTTTGAACTAGTGTAGACTTTATCCTTCAGTGTTTATACGAGATTATACGAGGGACGGTCAGAAAATATCCGGACTTTTCATGCTCCTCTCTTTCCACGTACAGCTATATACACACATTATATATTGGTGAAAACTACATTCATTCGCCAATAACGTGGTCAGTTTATTTATAATGATAGTTGTGTATACACAGATTATGCCGTCTGATATATGATAGTTGATCGTCAATCATGGACTCTTTGTTAGAGAAACAACACTCTGTGATTAAGTTTCTGGTTGTAGAAGGTAAAAAGCCCTGCCACATCTTTAAGATGCTTAAAAAAAGATTTTCTGATAAATGTGTATCACGTTTAACCTTCTACAACTGGGTTTCTCAGTTTCATGAAGGCAGAACAAGTGTTTGTGACAGGCCTAAGACTGGGCGGCCAGCTGAGGGGGTGACCCCAACAATGGTAGCAAATGTTAAAGCTTTTGTCAACAAAAATCGTCGAGTAACTTTGGAGGAGGTAGCCGCATCGGCATACAAGATTTTACACGAAAACCTAGGCATGAGCAAGGTAAGTGCCAGGTAGGTGCCTAGACAGCTGTCCGCAGATCAAAAGGCCACTAGAGTAACCAATTCAAAAGAACATTTAAGTCGTTTTAATCGTGAAGGAGGTAAGTTTGTGAACCGCATTATCACTGGAGATGAGATGTGGGTTCATTATTCCGAACCTGAGACAAAAGCTCAGTCAAAGCAGTGGAAACGAGCTGGTTCCCCACCTTCTAAAAAGTTTAAGCTGTCTCCTTCGGCTGGCAAAGTCATGCTTGTTACCTTTTGGGATGCACGAGGAATGATACTTACTCATTTCATGCCAAAAGGTCAAACTGTCATCGCCAAGTACTATTCTGAAGTAATTCTGAAAAATCTCAGAGAAAAGCTGAAGTAAATGCGTCCCAGGTTAGCACAGAAAAGTGTCCTCCTTCTTCACGATAACGCCCTTCCCATACCGCCGCAGCTACAGTGGAGGTTATCAACTCTTACAAATGGCAATTGTTGTCTCACCCTCCTTATAGCCAATACCTGGCCCCCTGTGACTTTTATTTGTTTCCAGAACCGAAAAAAAATGCTTACTGGAAAGAAATATAAGACCAGGGCGGCTTTGATATCTGCTGTTACACAGTACCTAAAACATAGGTCTACGTCATGGTTCACAGCGGGAATACAAAAGCAAGCTCCCACGAAGATGGCAAAAGTGCGTAGACAAAGGTGGAGAATATTTTGAAGAAAGAGTAGAAAGATTTTTTTTAAATGTTGAATGGTTTTCGAGAACGAGTCCAAAGTCCGGATATTTTCTGACTTCCCCTCGTACATAGTCAGTTGTCAAGCTTCCTCACTCAAAGGTATATCATTGTGTTTAAGCAGCGAAGAATATAATGCAGGGCTAATATGCCAATGCTTTGTGTGTATTTGCGTTTATTTATACTCACCACCGGTTGCCCATATGGGCGAGTCCTCCAGAAGAGTATTTGTAATTTTAGATTTTGGAGGCTAGTGCATTTACAGAAAATAGAAAGATGCTCCAATTCCAGAAGCTTCTCCTGGTTCTTTAACGTGCCAAGTGTTTAAGCACCCATACACTGGACCTCGATTTAAAGTCTCATCCGAAAGACTGATTAGTAATTTTAGTTGGCAGGCCCAGGAATCGAACCCACAATGTCGAGATTACAAATCTCGCGCTCTAACCGATTGAGCTATGCGGGCTGTTTATGCCAATGCTTAAAATTGATGAACCATTTGACGTATCTTGACCAGCGTCATAGGGGTATGTAATTGTATTTAAAATGACCTCGAGTAAGTCATAGAAAAAAAGTTTAATTTAACGACGTTATATAAATGCCACAAATAATACAAAATATGAATACTCTGATATTGTTATATATTGAACATTTTAAACATTAGGTAGCTTTTTATAACATAGTTCATACGATACAAACAAATAATCTCTAAATCATACATTTTATTTTTTGTCGTCTAATGATCTTTAATTTTAGTGCATACATCTTTTAATTTGAAATGATAAGCTTCTAAATAGTTTAAGTTATGGGTTAGACATATAGATCTAATCAGCCTCCTCATTATTCCAGAACTGAAGCTGTACTTCGAGAAAAATCCTGAGTTGTATGTTAGATACGTTAAACTGCTTTTCGAAGGGGGGCGTGTTGTTTTACATGGATTTCTCGAAAAAGAGGTTGCCAAGGTTGAAAAGGATTTGAAAACTCTTTTGTTTGAGAAAAGATCTACTTTGATGGCACATGTCGATAGCATATTTCACGAAAGCATGTTTGGAGGAGACTTCAACTGCGAATTAGACCCTTCCAGTTGGGACATAGATCTTCTTGCATCCGTTATTCTTATTCTTTCTCCAAACCTATGTGACGACGATGCCGGTAACATAAGGTTAATAAAGAGTGCACGACTACAATACTTAGAGCATGCATTGATTTCTATAGACAGTAATCACTTCATACCATATTGGACTGACTTGGTCAGTAGTTTGACAAGCTTATCAGTGTCGCTTGAAAGAGGAAAGAAAGCTCAAGTCAAAGTTCTTATTGATCGATATAAAAAGAAATCCGATGAAGATGAAGATGCTGATCGGTATTTAAGAGAATTGAATAGTAATCGGATTACCACCAAAACTCTGAAGGACTTTTATAAAGGTATTTATTATCCAGTAAACAAACTGAAAGCAAAGATTACCATGTATATACTGATATGTTTGAAGATGTTTTAATTTCCATATTATTTTTTCTTCCTTGCAATCAATTAAGCATTACAATATTATACAATTATTACAATTAGATAATATATTTTAATTCTATTCTATCCTGTATCAAACCTGTGGCAAATGTGCAAGAAACTGTTACTTTTTTCAGAGACCATTGCACGATTAGTAAAGTATTTGGGAGAATTAGAAGAGACTGGACTCAAAGTCAAAAAAGAATATTTAAGTACAGTATATTTTTCTTTCATAACAATATACATATCTCATTGTCATATGTTTATGTCGTAGATCTTTATTTTTATCTCAAATTGACAACGTGTAGCTTATAATCACATAAGTCTTACGTCGTTCGTCGTCCGGTTGATTATACATAATTATGAAAAATGCAAGTAGAATTTCAATAACCATGGGCAATCGCTAAAATCAATGCTAGCCTTATCGATTCAAACATGGCAGATAATCTTAAGCAAATGTTATAATCACATCATTTTTTGTCGTCCAACTCAATCTTTTAATAATCGACAAGAGATTTTATCCTGATTAAAGTTCAAGTATGTTTTATTTCCTGGGTATTTTGTATTTGTCAATAATTGAAAACTTAAAATTCTATTAGAATTATTTCCAACGGCATAATTTTGCGTTCCATTGGATAGCAAGGTCGTTATCACGTCTTGATGCAGATATCTGGTTATAAAAACTGTAACGAGGAGACTAGGTTTATACTAGGTACATGTTAGCGTTCTGACTATGTCATTGAAACAAAATATTAATTCTGCTTTCCGATCATTTTCATGTTAATAAAGTTACTCTTTGATAATCTGTCATTTATTCTTAAAGCTTATTCAGAGTAAAGGCTATTTTTCAGTAACAAGACAGTTTATAATTATCAAAAATGAGCACAACAGATTCATTTCTGTATTGAACCGGTTGATAACAGTAAAGCTTAAACGGTAAAAAATGTTTGTTCAAGAGGAGAAAGTAAAAATACAACATTTTTTATCTATTGAGTTCCGTATAATATATATTTAACACATCATGAAAGGTTACCCTTAAAGTGTATAAAGCTAAAGCTTCAATACATTTACAAGCATTATAACCAATCGGGAAGGAAGTGGCGTCAACAAACGGGCGTCATAAGCATTCTCTGATACAAGGACAGTACCTCCGACAAAACGACTATGCTTTGCGATACAAAATACCAATCTCTGTTGTGAGCTGCTGCGATGTTACTTAATGCGCGAGAAAAAATAATTTCCTCCCATTTCTGCTCCTTTTATTCATTTTTAATGTTTCACAACGTCTTTACTTAATAAGTAATGCTTGTTATCTTTTAAATTATCAGTATTTTGGTTAACTGTCTTTTAACTTGCCGGCAGGGTAAATTTACTTCCAACGTTATTGTAACTCTATTGCTGCCACCTCCAGTCCAAACGGATTCTCTGTATTTTTGAGCATTTTTTGTCTGCAGTGAAGAATTGCAATTTATTTACAAATTTACGTTCTGGTCTCGGCTTTTGACAGTTTTATTCTTTAATCAAAATTTGTTTCCTTGGATGGGCGTGTTCCACTTCCTATATTTGCTAATGAGCAATTATGAAGATAGTTCAAGACCTCAGTGTAATATGGCTTGTAATATTTTCTTGTAAGGAGGCTATTCCTAGCCACAAATCCAGCTTTTGAAACTTGACAATTCATACTTGTTCTACTAAACAGATGAGAAAATCTAATTGTCAATCCGAGAGTGATATACTGTACTGGTATTAAGCGTTTTGATTATTTTGATTTGACAACATGGAAGCTGGTAACATGCAACTTAGATAAATTACAAACTGAATTTAGAAATGTATAACAAGCTGTATTTAGACATGTATAACTTCAAGGTTGCGACGTGTAGAAATATAAACGATAGAACGTACACAATATGTTCATGCCGTACATCTTGACGTTAAGAATGTAACTGCATCAGTTGTTAATTTCACATTAACAACACCACACTTGCCTTTTACATTCTAACTAACGCGATTTACATTTGTAAACGATTTTTGCAAGTTCCAAACTTGGCAAAATTACGGAATAAGACAAAGTTTGAAAGGCGGAGCCAATTTTACGAGAGCACAAAATAAAGAGAAGCAACTCTTTCTGTACAATATTTATGAGAACAAACATATTTCAGATTTAATACAACTGTTATATAATTATGTCATTTACAGCAACTGCATTATGGTTGACGTTGAATATCCTCTGATTTTGTTAAAACGTATTCTAGCACAGGATATTCAAGAAATACAAAAGTGGTTATAATATAATGTAACGGTACGAATTGTTGAATCCGTTCACAGAAATTTTTACACTTGTTTTACATCAAGCAGTCAGTACTAGGATGCGATACATGGATTTCAATTTTGGCAACATAAAATTAAGAGAATGCTACTACCGGGAAAGACAGCTGCCAGAATTGGTCTGTATTGTTATCTGGTCGTCAAAATCCCTACCAGATGTTGACTTGAAAATTTGAAAATAGTTAGGTAGTAGCTTAACTGTCAATGTTACTCTTTACCATGCAAATTGTAATCCCTTCAGTAACTTTATCAGCGAGGCAAAACACAGAGATAAGGAGCTCCTATACACTCTCATGAAATATCACTCATGCATATCAAAGGTGACAAATTAGTCTTTCACTTAAAATAACATAGAAGAACATATCCACTGAAACAGAATAAGTAGTTCACTTTGAAACATGATGCATCATTTACTTAAAAGGGAACTGTAAAAAGTTTCACCTGCAGCCATAGATAAACTCATAAGCGTTCACAAAATGTATTATTCAACTGATTTTGATATCTGGTTAAAAAGTTTTACTTGCTTCAATTTTTAAGTTAATGAAGTATGCTTAATATCTTAACTGGCTTGGAAGTTGCCTATCTCTGTTATCTATGTCTCTGAAATTATTTGTCTTTTAAAAAAGCATGTTAAACATAGTCTGTACAAAACTTTTAGCTCCCTAAAAATATTTTCCCTCAAGTTTGATTGAGACAGTTACCTTGTGAGTTTTTCTGATTTTCTTTTCTATGATATTGGATTTCTACAACTTTTCAAAAATATACAGGCCTATAATAATTTAAAGTGCTCTGATGTTGATTTTATAAAGGCATAAAATGGCAATCATGCAAGGAATTATGTTTATGATTTACAAAACTAAAAGGCTCCAAAATGTTTTGCCTTGATATGTGTGGTTAACGGAAGCTGCGCCAGTGTGTGTTCTTGTTTCCTTGCTTTATTTGCAGAAGGAGAACTTGTCGCTAACGGTAAATACCGAAAACGAGCGGATAAATATGTTTATTTACGATGATGAAATGGGCGGGGAAATAGGCGGACCTTATTTTTCTCGAATTGCAAAACGTGTCCAGCTGGATGATGCTGATCCGAATCAGATGGTTTGGCAATGTAAAGCTAAGAAAATAACTTCTGTTTTGTCGCCGTAAATAGAACAATCAGTATTCCGCATGTTATGATGAACACTTGGTATTGCTACTCTCAGAATACCGGTTAATATTTTGTCGTTTTATATTTTGCTGGAAAAACATGTTTACAATGTTTAATCGGCAAACTCAATCCGAGAATGCAACTTTGTAGTTTACATACAAAGAAATACAATTGTATTTTGTCCGTTAACCAAATGTTCAACTCAGATCAACAGGCTAGATTTTGGCAACGAATAGACTCCTTATTCTTGCACCATATGGAATGTACTTTAGTGGCTTTTTGGATAGTAGCATTTAACTCTTCGGTGACATGTTTGATGTTTCTTTAATGTTCCGTAGAGAAACAAAGTTAAAGTTTCTTAGAAGTGTTTTACAGTTTACTAACTGAATAGAATACAAAAACAATCAGCAAAATACAAAATACTTTCCTCAAGCTAGAAATATCTAAAACAAAAAGCAGAAACAAACAATATTTGTGTTTGTAGAGCGGCTAACATATGTGTTATGCTGATATTAAAAATGCATGCACATGTCTCCTTGTTGATGAACAGATTTCTCTAACAAAAATAAGAAAAATACAACAAAATAAGCTTCCTATTTGAAAAAAGCAATTTAAGAAACGTTTAGTTGCAAATAAATTCAAGCAACACATTTAATTAACATTATGAATTTTAGCAAATTTACAGATCAATGTTTACATGTCAATTATTTATGTTCTTTGGAACTCCAATAGATTGAAGGGAACTTTTTGCTAAATTATTACTTGAAAAGTTAAACCTATTACATTTCTAGTGGTTACAATGCAAATCCAGTTGTCAGATTAATTACGGTTACTCAAAGTCGTCGTTTTCAAAATGTGATGCCTAGTATAAAAGCTAATATACTGCATCATTCTTAGGAAAAAAAACTCTTTCTTTAAACATACAACACACAGTAGTAAGAATACTTATGAATAAATCAAAGAAACTAATACACGAAAATGTATGTTTCGATTATATTTTTAATCTCAATGGATAACGTTGCTTCGGCATTTTGCAACATAAATCTAGTTAGTTACACTTTATATATTAATACATTTTAATACAATACATTTATGTTATAGATATTGACCTCAAACTAACGGTTGACTGCAAAAACAAAAGGTCAAGAGAAGCGGCAGAAGATGTTTTAGAGGAGCATTTCAAAGCCTCCCTGTCGAAATCTGGAAACCCGGTGAATTGCATCCGGAAGGAAACCGACAGCTTATTCAATAAAATAACTGAAAATCCAACTGTTACAGTCATCGGTGTGAAAAGAGGCTGTATCATTCTTTCATTAAGAACCTCAACTATTCATGGACTTTTGTATGTCATACAACTGTTTGAAGGTCAACAATTTCGATCTATTCTGGATAGTTTATCAGCCGAGTTGTATTATCTTTATGGAGAAGCGTTTTTATTGCAAGGGCATATTCCTTTAGAATGTCTTAACAGAATTCTTCAACAGTTCAAGTGTAAGTGATAAATAAACACACATGATACACATACTTTTCAGTACGTAATAAGTTTTCGTTACCACGCTAATCTCGCGCTCCGAAATAAAAACACACGATTTTCACGCTTTATATAACGAACGTCGAATGCAGGTTTTTACAAATGAAATACATAGACGCAAAATGATATACACTTAACGATAAAAGCTTTCTTTTAATGCTAAATCGCAAACTAGAACGAGCTAGAAATATCAATGATATAAAGGGTAATATTAAGAAACTTATCCAAGATATTCAAAATCTTACTATAATGAACTTATTTCTACCCTAATAATGTTACGTATGTGTCTTTCCGACCAATAAATTGACATTTACGTAATAATTTATCTCGCTTGCAACCATCACTTCAAGATAAAATGGCGTTCACAGTTAACATAGCACTTTATCGGACTGCCACACTGTCACAACATCATTTATGTTTCACTTGCAATCCCAATGCGTAGCGACGGGTTAAGGTTTTCAGTAAGTCAGACAGTTTTTGGTGAAGACGTCATAACGGTTCGGTGTAAGAAAAATCAAATTATCAGATTGATACCTTTAAATTAATGACCTCTGAAATAAGCACCTGTTCTAATGGCAACATATTCCAAACGCAGTCATACCACGTTACGTAAACTCTATCAGGCAACATATTCGGCAATGCAAAATAAAGGTATGGAGGTCAACATTTGAATAATAGTGTAGATTTGTAAGTACTCAAAATAATGAAATCGGATATTTTGTTGTTTTTGTTTTTGTTTGCCTTTTTAGTATAAAGAAAAAGTGTATCGGATGTGTCGCTAACATAGCTATTATTTAATGCATATGTTTTAATTCAATGCTGATGCGTAAATATGCCCTTTTTAACATTATTGTATGTTGATACTCTTTGCTCCTATGGTTTGCGCGCCAAAGTCGTCTTATGATATTAATTTGCTCCTAATAACTTTCCCGCCATTTAATTCCTGCCACATACATTTTCACGTGCTTTCCATGGTTTCATTGTATAAATGGAGACCACATGGTCACAGAAGCTAAGTATTCAAAAGGATTTTACGGCGAAATGAAAAGTATTTTGCTTTGAAATGAAAAGGATTTCGACGTGATATAAAAAGGAATTCTCTGTGAAATTTAATTAGTTGTAGAAGTTTATGTAGATAATTAGTTAATAGAATAGATAGACGATTTTTGATATATAAAACATCCAATGTGTAGATAAGATATTTCTATGTTTGCAAATAGAAAAAATATGTAAGTTATACAAATGACATTGTTGACATTGCTAATGGTCAACCAAACCTTCAAAAAATTTGTTTTCATTTGAACATAATGTTTATTTATAACATAATATTCAAACAACTGAATTTATTAAAAAGTCCATCCAATTCTGATTATGAAAACAAAGTTGTAACATATGTTGTTAATCAAAAGTCCTATATCTTCACTCAAATGAAGTCGTTTTGCTGCTTTAATTTTTTTAAAAAGTCCGAAACTTTTAAAGATATACTATGATCAAATGTTATAAAAGAACATATTGATAATTGCTTCACAGTTTCTTTGTAAATATAAAATAAACATATTTTGACTTCATACAAAGTAGATATGTTATGTTCAAAATTTTACACACTATATGTGTTCACAGTATGAATATATCGTGCCAATAAAAAACTGGCAGTTGTTTTTTAAAAAAAAAGACCAACTTTACTAGGCTTGTTATAGGGAACTCCGTTTTCCATACATAGTTTATTCATTCTTTTATTCAAATAAGACATATTCTTTGAGAATTTCATAGATTTCAATACATATCCGTGATTAAAATATTTTGCTCAAGGAGGAGCTTAGTATATCTTTAAACACTAAAACATTCAAACTTCCAAAATGTAATCGTTTGATATATTTATAATATATAGTTAACATATTTGTAACTTTCAGATTCTAGAGAGAAAAAAACAAATAAAGGAGTTAGTCTACAGATTCAATGCACATCGATGGAAGGATTTGAGCACGTTTTGTCTGTTGCTGGAGCTGAATCATCTACAAAAATCTTAATTGACATCTCTGACAAGATTTCCAAAGAAATCAATGAATATATTTCAGTAGATGTCGAACCTGATGTGCTGCCGATGGACGATGTTTTGAAAATGGAAGGTATATTAATTACGATGACAAAATGTTATTTACAATGATAATGTCAAAATATATTTTAAGATTATCTTACATATTTCAATTTTGTACACATAGAATGCCTCGGTATTTAAAAGAATTTTAACTTGGCATAGCGCAAGATTTTATAATTAGATTATGCGCCTTATTGCATTTTTAGATTCATTTAAAATATCATAGGCTGTTTTTATGTATTTGTAAAGAATGCTTATCATAATATAGATTATGTGTGTTGAGCCCCATTTCACGTCAACAAAATTATTACGATCTCTTTGGCACAAGTAAACATGTTTCTTGAGGTCTTTCTTCTCAGAAACTGACAATGCTATCCACTTCAAACTTATTTTTAAACTTTACAACAGCAGGTATCAAGTGCTGTGTTGCAGCTGTAAAAAGTTGTCCCGTACTGCACTTCAGTGTTGTTATATTTTTCGGGTCCTTCGGGATCATTGATGCCAGCACTATTAAGTGTTGAGAATTGAGTACCGCTCAAGCTGGTGCTTGGGGAGTGAGGGTTGTGCACTTATTCATTATCCCCCATGTACAGACTCACTCAAACCTAGTCTGAAATTTTCAGATAATTTTGTTATGATTAATGCTCCCGAGGGATCACTTTGTTTCTAGATTTTTGTGCATCCTTTTCGACGTTCCTTTCTTATCTCACCAGAACCGAAGGTTCAGGGTGAGCTATTAGTTTCAAAGGGGGATGCTCCGGCGTCAGTCGTCATGCATCAATAATCGTCTTTTCTGAAACTGCTAGGCAGATTTACTTCAAATTTGGTCTGTAGCTTCTAGTGGCAGTCACACTTGAATTTGCTCATGTCATTTGGCCTCCTTAAGGGGTCAACAGAGCCTAAAATAGAAAAACCTTTAAACATCTTCTACTACAGAACTAATGGATGGAAGATCATGAAACTTTGTCTGTAGCATTCTTAAGTAGTCTTTTATCAAGTTTGCTCATATTTATTTGATTGGCCCCTTTTAGAGGCCGCTAAAACTAAATATAGAAATAGCTTTAAACGTCTATTTCTACAGAACTAATTGATTTGATGTTAAGTGGTCTATCTTAAAAAATTAGTGCCCGGTTTTTAATGACAATTTATAATCATCTTGTAACCACCTATAGTTTAAAACATAGCTTTGTATGAAGTTAAAGCATGTGTATTTTATATTAATAAAGAGGCTGTGTAGCAATTATGAATATTATCAAATATGAAATTTGAGCAAAGCATATCTTTAATGAAAGGGAAACAACTTATGTTGGAATGTATTTCATAAATGTGATCATGCAATGCAATTATTCTAAGCTGGGAGTAATTACCTGTTTGCTGATGAAATTATTTGAGGTCATGACCACTGGCAAGAGATAAATTGATATTTATGAAATCACTTGAGCACATTGTCAGGACATAATGATTAACAGCACCCTGTAATAATTAAAACTTTATAATCATAAATGCTTTCAGAAATAGGTAACACTTATTTGAAAAGATAGTATACAGCTGTGTAATAAGTAAATGCTTAATATTTTGCCAAGTAAGAATACTTTTACAATTAATCAATTATTACACTATATGGTTTGTATCTAAACTGCACATAGTTTTTCATTTTGCATGCTAAAAGAAGACCCTGATCTCAAAACTCACTAGACATGCACAATGCCAAAGTTCAATTGTGTAGAAAAAAGTTCTGATTTGTTTCACAAATGCAATCATGTTAAGCATTAAATCAGCTCTAGAATTTGTATTTCTAGGTCAGTGAACAGAATTATCCCCAGGAAAATAAGTTAGGCCTAAAGAAAGATTACTTTTGTTTCCTGTACTTTACTTACAAATATTAGTTTGTATGCTCATTATTTTTATTTAATTCTGTTAAAAATTGTTATATTTTTTTCAATCTTTGTTGAATTAGATTCAAACTTGAAGAAAGCACATTTCAATAAATTTTTGGACACTGTTGAACCTGATGTTTCATTTGCATAATTAAATTTTTATATCATTTGATCTGTTATTGAATTTTGATATCAACTGGCCTACTTTTGGTATTTTTGATATTACTTGACCTACATTTTGTTGTTTTTTATGTATATACTAAAAATTTGGACCCGAGGTTGGTGTAATTTATGTAATTTTTGATGTTGAATTGAATTTTGATATCAGATGATCTACTTTCGATATTATTGACACCATTTGACATTCTGTCTTGTTTTTTTGACATACATTTTTGTAATTAAGACCAGGGGTTTAATATCTGATGCCAAATTGAATTTTGATATCAGCTGACCTACGATTGATATTTTTGATATCGCTCGACCTACTTTCTTGATTTTTGTTTTACAGACATGGAATTTGGATCAAGGGTGTGAATCAATTTTTGGTATCAGCTAACCTACTTTTTATATTTTTTTATATTGTTTGACCTACTTTTTTGGACCAAGGGTGCTATTTCTGATGTTAATTGAATTTTGATAGCAGCTGACCTACTTGTGATATTTTTTATATTATTTGACCTATTTCTTGCTTTTTGACATTTAGACATGAAATTTGGACCCAGGGTGTAATTTCTGGTGCTGAATTAAATTTTGATATCAGCTGACCTGCTTTTGATTTCTTTGATATCATTTGACCTACTTTCTTGTTTATTGACATACAGAATTGTAATTTGGACAAGGGTTGTAATTTTTAATGTGAATTAGATCTTGATATCAACTGGCCTTCTTTTTGATATTTTTACATTATTTTACCTATTGTCATTTTAAGGTACGGTAATGTTAACATATAGAATGTATATAAAATAAAATTGTTGTTCCAACTGTATAATTCAAACATCTACATCTTACATGTTTTGCATGTGACATTTTGTGTATTCGTTCACAAAAGTTATGAAAAAAATTGCCCTATCAAAATTTACCCTGCTCTATTGTTCATTTATTCTGCATTTATTCTACATAGTCTCATAGGAACACAATTGCAACATAAATATTTTTAAAAAAGCCTTTCAAAATATTAGGACAAAATCTTTCATTTATAAAGTGGACAACGAATTGTGGGTCAGATAAGTGATCTAGGATTATCTTGGCCCTATTGTTTATTATGAAGAAAAAAAACAATCAATGTTGTGAAAGTATATAGCTAGAGGAGCAAGTTAAAGTTGAGCTTGACTTGCATTTCTAACACTGAAAAACAGTTGTTTCTGGTGAGCGACTAAGGGCCATCATGGCCCACTTGTTCAAATTATCTAGCACTGGACAGGTCTGGATATATCTTTTTGCCCCAAAATATTCTCTTTCAGTACGTGTGGTATTCCCTACCTCCATCCCTCCCCTCCCTCCCTCAATCCATCCGCCCGTCTGTCCGTCCGTCACTGCTTCCGTCACATTCTTGTCCGAAGTATAAGTTGGAAGTATTTAAACATAGTAATCAGACTATGGACAGTGATAGAGACCATTTAGATGAAATGCAATTTTAAAGAACCATAACACTACCTTGTTTTATATTTTAAATAATCTCCCTTAAGTAAAAATTTGCTCATTGAAACTACAAAAAGTAGAGACAAGAGAAAGAGAAAGTACAGTGTCAAAAAAAACATAAGTTTTTAAATAATCTCCCCTTATAATATTTTATAATGCTTGATCTTGGAATAACTTGAGAATATTAAAGGAATTTGATAAAAGCTTCACACAGTCAGTGCAGTGTACAAAAGTCATACCTCTTCTTGTTTAATTTTCTAATTATCTCCCTTTTTGATACTTAAAATATTTAATTTGATAATCCTGTTCAGAGTATAGATTCAAAATATGTCAATAATATCTTATTGAAACTAGTGAACGGAAGTGCGGTGTTAAATCTCAATAATCACCAGTTAGCTCAAAAGGTAAAGCATTGGTCTGTTAATCCGATTCCGAATTCCGGACGGTGAAGTTCATTTTCGTTGTGATTGATCATGTAATCCTTACTACGGTCATTGCACTGTACCTCTGCTATGACATATACAGAAGTTATAAGTTCATTGCGAAAGTGAAGGCAACTACTACTGGCTAACTGTCTGAAACACTAAAAATTTGTGCTGTCTATGATTTAAACGGTACCGTTATGATTTTAGCTCAACTGAGTTTGCTCATGGCGAGCTTTTAGGATCGTTGAATGTCCGTCGTCCGTCCACATTTGTTCGTTAACACTCCAGCGATCACATTTTTGCCTCAATCATTATCAAACATTGTTAGGATGCTTGTCTAGGTATTTGCTCGGATGAGGTCGAACATGGGTCATCTCGGATGAAAGACTAGGTCACAGGAGCTAATAATAGAAAAATCTTGTTAACACTGTAGTGGATACTGTTTTCATCCAAATATCTTTAAAATAGGTACGAAAGTTTGTTTTGGTGACGTCTATGTCAAAAATTAGGTCACACCGCCCAAATATAGAAAAACCTTGTTAACACTGTTTTTATCCAAATATCATAGAAATCGGTCTGAAATGTTGTTTTGATGATTTCTAGGTCAAGTTCGAATATGTGTCATCTGGGGACAAAATTGGCCCCGCATAGGGGTCATAGATTTTCCTTATATATATACACTTAAAAAGATCTGCTTGCCTGAATGTTCAAGGCTTAGAGCTTAGACATTTGGTATATAATGTCATCTATAGGTCCTTTTCGAAATTTGTTCAAATTTTGCCCCTATTGTTAAAATCGACCCCGCCTTCTGGGACCATAGGTTTTCCTTGTATGTATATAGTAAAAACTTCTTATCTGAATTGACTACGGTTAGAGGTTAGATATTTGGCATGAAACATTGTGAAGTAGACTTCAACCGAGATTTTTCAAATCAAAATCCTTGGGTTAAAGTTGGCCCTGTACCAGGGGTCATTTTATAGGTTTATCTTATATGTATATAGTAAACATTGAAAGAATCTTCTACTCTTAATTGCTAGAGGTTAGTATTTGGCATGTAGCAGTGTTTAGCGGAACTCTACCGAGATTGTTCAAATTATATCCTGTGGTCAAAAATGGCACCGCCAAGGGGTCATAGATTTTCCTTATATATTTATAGTAAAAACTTTAAAAAAACTTCTTGTCGGAAGGTACAATGCTTAGGGCTTAGATATTTGGTATTATATCATCTAAAGGTCCTCTGCCATAGTTGTTCAAAGTTTGCCCTTATTGTTAAAAGTGGCACACAAATAACAGTATGTCTTCAGGTGAGCGGTTTGGGACCAATGGCCCCTTGTTTTTTTTATTTTAATCTATTCATAGTAAACGGTTTTATGCCTGTTGATAACTAAAGGATTATTCTATTCAACATTCTTGTCTTTTTCCTGACAATTGAATATGCCATGTCAAGAATATGAATTTCAGAAATATTTGAAAAAAGTGGCACGCATTCTGTTCCGTTGATAGAAAACGTGAATAGAAAAGTAACGGAAATGTTTGTCGATGACACAGTTTCAGAGATGGCACATCGACAAGAATGGACTTCAAACAAGACACAGGTAATATAAAAATAAATATTCATAGAATGCATGTTTTCATCTTAAAGTCAGTTTCTATAGTACTGCAATGATAACAACGACTGTGCATTTTTAGACATTGCAGTCAAAATTGAAACAACTAATTTCAAACAAAATCCGGTAGCAATACTACTCTTTTAATTATCTGCAATTAGAAAGTGAATTTTTGCAATTCTAGGTAATTTACCTTAACACAATTAATGAGTGAATACTGAGATAATTCTGCACGTTTTCATTTTTACTCATAAAAGAAAATTTCTTAGACCACAGATGTTTTCTCTCGGCCAATCAGATTAGTTTAAAAGTGTTTGATATATCCCACACATCACAGTCAAGTGTTTGATATAACTATCATGTTTGTATTCAACTGAAAGAAAAAAAACCGTTATGTGCACGCTTTATACGAGGAAAATTTATATGTATATACATCATCTAGTAAAATTCATAGTGTAATTCCCTTCTTAAAAATTAACAGATAGCAAAAGCCCTTTGACCAATTTATTTCGTCAGTTCATCATTTGACAAGAATAGTTACGGTATTTGTAAATAAAAAAAAAACAAGCAAGAATGAAATGAAATGTGTTAATCAATCTATTTAAATCTGTATAATTTTATTATGTATCTAAATTTTACGACCGCTTTTGTGCTAATATTTTAGGCACTGTGCCTTGTTCATTATGCCTGGCTCACTCTTAATAGCAGACACTGTAGATGTACATTCATTTTCGGTTTGGGATGAGGGGATTCCACTGGTGGGCAGAGGGTGGAGTTTCCGAACGGTGACTGGACTGCGTTTGCAACGCTAAGGAAATGCTATGCTTTAAGGCTTCACAGGGACGTTTGTAATATTTTTTAAGTTCATGAATGAGGTAAAAAAGACAATGCAGGATATATATAAAGCATAGAATAAAAACACGAATCTATATGTCAAGTAAAATATTTTCAACTTCAGCCGGACAACCAATCAATATTCTGAACCCTAGGGTTGTTTAAGCATTAAGAAAAACGTTTAATGAAAGTTACCTGCCCGTTTCTCCAAGAGCCCACTCTTGAGAAGCAGCCATCGCCCATGATTTCTGTCTAAGAGTATTTTTCGGTAAGCAGTTTTGATTCTTGACTTCATATTCAAGCGCTGTGTACGGTGTTATGTCATTTAATCATTTAAATGAAGAATCAACTGGAATAACAACAAAATCTCTCAACTTGCAAAATTGTAATAATATCGCATTCAGAAATGTTAAATTCTTCCCAAATTTCTTCTTACTACACTTTTGTTATGAAATGTGAAATCTATCATTCATGAGATTGTGTATACAGTAACTTATGAAAAAAAACATGAATTATGACATTTCCTCGTGCTTTTGTTTGCCTACAATAAGGCCAAATAGATTGAGTAAGAAATGTTTGGATGTCCCTATGCAATTGTCGAAGAAAAAATCGTTTACGCATGTTAAATCTTCACATTAAACAAAGAAAACTACCTGTGGTCTAAGTCAGATAGATCGCTCACGAGTACCAGTTGGATGTGAGATTTATCAACTCGCTTCGCTCGTTGATAAATCTCACATCCAACCGGTACTCATGATCTATCCTATACATCTGCAATTTTATAATAGCTTACGGCCATCTAGTAACAGGATAATCTTTACGGCGAAGAGATTACTATTTCCAAACATGAGCGACACAAAATAGTTCTCTTCCAATGTAGTTAAAATTACCCTTTGTACTTTGGAAAAAAAAAATTAGTCCGATTATATTTTGTCGTATGTACATTATCATTTTCGTAACAAATATAAATTAAATTTATTTAACCCAACGCGAATGAATATAACATTGCAACAGCGCCAGATCCTGTAACACATTTATTATAGTTTTATATAAAGATATGATGCTCAAATTAAGATTTATTAATATTGTATGTTCCAAAAAGCATTATTTAAAAAGATATTACCGAATTTAATATTTCATTCAAATAAAGGGAGGTTATTAGAAATTTGCTTTCTATAAATTCTAAGTCAAATTTTCCAATAAGAAATGAATGCATTTAATGATTTCATTTAATATGTACAAATATTTTCAGTACATATAAACATATTCTTCGATGTTTGAAAATTGGTTTATAAGCATAATTATATGCATATATAATTTCCCGTTAGAGTGGTATACAACCTCAATACCAAAACATACGAGAGACGGTCAGAAAAAATCCGGACTTTTCATGCTCCTCTCTTTCCACGTGCAGCTCTATACACACATTATATTTTGGTGAAAACTACTGTCCTAGGATAATAATATGGTCTTAACGGTACATGGGAAAGTCCAAAAACGGGGTTATCTGGGTTTTTATCCGGTATCGTAAAAGTAAACACTTACATATACTATATAGCATAATTCTTACTGTGTCGTTTGTATGTTACCGTTATGGCTCGGCCGGTAGATCGAAGTTATAGTAACTTTTAATATTTTGAACTCATAGGTTCGAACCCAACGTAGTGCCATTTTATAAACACAGTTTATTCTTCTTGCTCTGTTTTTTTATCATTATTGTTTATTTATTTTTCGTTTTCCTTTTTGATTTCTTCTTATATATATTTTATAGTATATATATATTTTATTTCTATTCTATTTTCTTTTGTATTTTTTGATCGCAGAGTAATAAAATATTCGATCTCATATTCATGTATGTATATGAATTTTTTTTTGAACAATTGTCTGTTCTTAGGTAAAAAATGTGTCTTACCAGTAGTCGAACTTCTGCATGTACGGGTAAAACACATTACTGACACGGTTGCTCTACCTACTGCGCTAACAAGACATATGATAATATGTAGTTTTATTTTCATTTTTATAGGTTGTGGCATTGATCTGCCCATCCTATTTTTCGCATTGTTATTGGTCTTTGTTATGTAAACAAAGGCTCAAGTTATTATTTTATTTTAATTTTAAAATTGCCACTCTCTTAAACCTATTGCAAACCTTTTTGTGTGTACTATCTATGTAATATTTTAATATATGCCTTTATAGCGTGTATGCGCTAAAGCATACATGTATCAATTGCATTATGTTACAAAAAGAACCGTTGAAAGAAAGATACGGTAATGAAATAAAAAATATAATTGTATATAAAACACCACTTAAAAGGTATTCTAAAACCAGATGTTCTGAATAAAAACGATTTCAAATTAATTCTTGCAAGTAAATAAAAAAAATAACTTGCTGTTGGTAAGGAATCGAACCAGAGACCATCAGATCAGTAGTCCGACATCTATACCAATACACCAAACCTCACTGACGAGAAATATTAGCAAATATATCGATATATTCGATAGATACTGGTCAATGTTTATTCATATGACCTTTACGAAAGTTAATGAAGTGCCAGGTCAATACTGTTGGACAATATCATCCTATAATCCCAGCACGATAAACAGAAGTTTCGTCATGTTTATTAATAGTATGGAACAGTCTATTTTGAAGCTAAAAGGGTAAATGAAAGGTTACATTATTTCCTAATTCGCTTTCGCTCAAACGGAAATAAATCATTTATCCCTTATTCTACAGAAACTAAGAAAATATAACACAAACACATATGTAGAATCAGTCATTCACAATGCATTTATGATCGAATTAACAAAGAACGGGCAAATGGGGCAAAAATTAACAATAAAAACTAATATTACTCAAACAATTGAAAAACGAAATTACAATCCTAAACATTTACTAACTAAAAGTCGTTTATCAATGTCAATCCTTAACATAAGAGTCCTTAGCCTTTTCAACTTTTCCAACGTCCATGACGTTTAAATAACCTATCTGACACTCCAGCATTGGCAAAGCAGCTGAAGCGCCACCTGATCTCAGACTATGCAATCCAAATTTTGATTTTTGTCCCAAACCGATATGCTCAAACATATCTAAAATAAGTTCACGAGCTCTAGTGTAAGACAATGGAGAAGTACCTCTTAATTTTATAACAATTAGAAACTCTTGAAAAAAGTAAACAGAACGAAATATAAAATCATTTGAGTTTTCATCAATGTTTGCCATAGTTAAATAACGCAATAACATGTTAACAGGACAAGTTACATTTCCCAGTCTTTGCTATTAAACACCAACTTCCATCTCGATAAATGTCTGTTTTACTGTGATCAATAAAACAATGCAATATGATCAGTCTTAAAAAAGAATATCAGAACGCTTAAATATTTATCAGTTCAGAAAATCTTAGAAAACCAGCGTAAGCTAAAAGACACATTGATATATTTCTAAGATTAAATAAATTTACATCAGTATTACCAAAAAACATTAACCAACTTAAAAAGTATTTCCGGCAAGTAACAGGTTCTTTTTCCTAGAAACACGATGTCCCAGAATTCTATGAGCAGCCTCCCTGACTGATTTCACTAAAAAGGATGAACACGGATTATTTAAATTTCCTGCTAAATCATTAGCCCATTTCATACCATAAAATGCTTCATCCACAGTAGATGGAGAATTACAACTTTGTATTAAAGACACTAAATATAAAGAAAAATCCACATCATTGGCAGGGAAAACGACCAAACCATGCTGTCTGGCCCATTTACTCCAACTGTTGTAGGATCTCTGGTATTTTTTACTCCGTATTACAGGCTTTTGATGAAAGAGCGACTTCCGGAAGTGAAGCAGCCAGGGAGGATAACTCTGGATCACCGTACACTTTATTACTCAATCGGTTTCATTATTAAATCTGAAAAATGTATAATAAATTCAAATCGTTAAAAAAAACTGATCAAATAAGAATTAAGTAAGAAAAAGCATAAAAACATAAAACATTAACAGGCCTGCCAGACCACTTATTTACAAAATATCTTTAAACTTTTGCCTGGGCCAAATTACCCTAAATTAATCACATTAGATACGTCTAAGTTCTACTTAAACATAAAATACAAATCGTGTCAAAAGGCTACAATAACTCATTTGTCCTGGCCAAGTGGCCCTGG